TTCTGTTGCATTTAATACTATATTTTCACAATAAATCTCAGCAACTGAATGAAACATGACAGTGGTAGTCCCATTTTTATTAATTTTTTTTTTTTAAGATTTTATTTATTTGAGAGAGTGAGCCCACGAGCAGGGGGAAGGGGCAGAGGGAGAAGCAGGCTCACCACTGAGCAGGGAGCCTGATGCGGGGCTCAGTCCCAGGATCCTGGGATCATGACCCGAGCCAAAGGCAGCCACCCAACGGACTGAGCCACCCAGGCGCCCCCCATTTTTATTAAGGGGTTTATCCATGCATTCCATGAACAACAGCTGGGCATCTAACTGTATCTGGGCACTTAAACCATTACTCAAATCCTTATAACAGTCGTGGTTCATAGATATTTATTTCATTTTACACATGAGTGGAACCTGAGACTCCAGATATAAGTGACTTCTCTAAGATTACGATTAGGAGTGGTGAAGGTCTGCCTGGCTCCAAAGCCCCAATTTTTTTTTGCTACACATAATCCCTCTCATCAAGGAATGTAGTGGAAGGTAGCGGAAAATGTAGTGGTAAAAAACATAGACACTTGTAAAACTCATGCGGTTTCAAATTAAAAGAACTTCCTTGTATTTTTGTTTTCTCTATGTCCTTAGTAGGTGCTCAGTACATGTTTGTTCAATGAATGAACAGATTCTAGTCTAGGAACCTATTTAAGCTTTGTTGGTAAATTTGGCTCAGCAACACAGAAGGGAGAGGGAATACTTTTTGATTAGGATGAGCTTCAACTGGGCCAAAGTCCAGAGGAGGTGACTCCTGGAGGGAGGCAGGGTAGGTGATTGGGAGCACAGGGTGGTTAACGGTTGGCTTGAGGTTGCATTTTAAGTCCAGCAGCAGTACGGAAGGAAGCTTGTTCATCTCTTACCTGAGCTGCCTTTGTATTATTGGGTACATGTCCTTTCATCCTAACTTTGATGAAGATGAAAGCTGTATTTCTGTCCATGGTTTCTGAGTGCTTTTCAAATGATAAAACCTTACTGATTTTAAATGGTTTCAACTCAGATACTTTGGAGGTGAAGGATATCTGCAAACCATTAAGTTCCCAGGTAAGTTTCTTCCTGGTTTGGCTTATTAAGGAAATAAGATTTAAGATGTCAGGATGATTTCAATGTAAGGGTGATCGCTAAAGTAGACTAGATTGCCTAAGGAATGCATTTCAATACACTTTACATAAAGTAACAGTTAAAGACAGTTTTTTTGTTTTATGGGGCATTTGCTGCAATAGGTTTGTTTAGGGACAAGTTATTAAAATTTTGATACTTTATTGATGCCATAGATAGCATAAAGCAGATATATTGATAAAACTTTCTCAACTTATCTTTTCTTTCTCTTTTTTTATCTTCCTACCTTTCTTAAAATACTTGAGACTAAAAATTTTTGGTTGTCTTAAGTAAAACATGCTGTTGAACTTTTTTTTGATCAAAAGATAAAATGTTTATGACAAATAATCTATAGTCATTTTTTTTTGTTGTTAATCAGAATTCAGTATTTTGAAAGCTGTCAAGAACCCTTTATGTTTTAGGTAATGTTTTTGGAAGCCATTTAAAATGAGCTCTATTATGTCACTGTAGGATAGTGAATGAGCATTACACTTTGGAAGATGTGAGTTCAGTACTCTCGGCTGCTAATAACTTGTCCCTAATTGGTGGTGTCCTTGAGCAGATGACTTGATTCCTGTTTTAATTTTCCATATGTAAATTGAGAGTAAGATTGACTTCCTTAAGACTGAATCAAACGAGATAGTTGTTGAAGATGAGGTTATGTAAATTTGAGGTGGTGATGATACTTTTGTGTATATCCCATGGTCAGCTTGCTTTAGTCTTATTGGTTAAATAGAATATTAATATTTTGAGGTGTTTAAAAGTTGATTTAAAACATTATAACATTGGCTGCCTTTTGAGTGGTTGTGAGGTATAGTTTAATACATTAATGTGACAGTTCATTTATGAATTAAAAATGTCATCTTTTTCGTGTTTGGTAACTTTTGTGGGTGATTTGGGAAAAGTATTTAACCAAGGTTAACTATTTTATAATTAAAAAAATTGGGGGAGGGGTTCCTGAGTGGCTCAGTTGGTTAAGCGGCTGCCTTCAGCTCAGGTCATGATCCCAGGGTCCTGGGATCAAGTCCCATGTTGGGCTCCCTGCTCAGCGAGGAACCTGATTCTCCCTCTCCCTCTGTCTCCCGGCTTGTGCTCTCACTCTCTCTCTGTCAAATAAATGAATAAAATATTAAAAAATAAATAAAAAATTGGGGGTGCCTGGGTGGCTCAGTCCGTTAAGCGTCTGTCTTCTGCTCGGGTCATGAACCCAGGGTCCTGGCATCTAGCCCTGAGGCAGTCTGCTTCTCCCTCTGCCTCTGCCTCTCTCTCTGTGTCTCTTTTTAAAATACCTAAGGTAATAATTTTGATTGAACTTTGAACCTGGCCATCTTTATTTTGAAACTATTAAAGTTGACCACATGAAACTTTTTACATGTTTTTGTATTCTGAATGATAATATAGCAAATGAAACATGCATAGTAGTGAAATTTAGAATATATATGAAGCTGTGTATATAGCAGTTGCTAAACTTAATTTTTGCCTAAAGGGTTGATTTGGTTTTTGCTGAACAGCCTTCTTCCAAGATGGTATGTTTTTCAGTTTTAGAATTTGGCATTGTTCAGTTATCTACAGGTATCTGAAAAATAAAAAGTTAGGCTCATTAATTTTTCATGTTGCTTTACTATGTACAAAAATTGCAGTACAATTTTGTCCTGAGAAACCCATTCTTATAAAAATAATAAAGTTACCTTGTGGATATATACTCCATATTTTGTCAATTCTGTAGTATACATTTGAAGAGTTTATTAAGGATTACATGAGTGCTATGAATTACTTACTAATTGAGTATTGCTTATTAAAGATTTACTATGTTGAGTAAATTGGAAAAAACCGGATACTGAATTGTCACTTGTAAGTGTATAGTCCTTAAAAAAGTAAACTTGATAGTTTTTGTGGGAATTGGCAACTGGCAATATATTATAGGAAAGGGGAATCGTAAGTAGCTTTAAACGTTTAAAAATTGTTTAACTCGGGGCGCCTGGGTGGCTCAGTCGTGAGGCGTCTGCCTTCGGCTCAGGTCATGATCCCAGGGTCCTGGGATCGAGCCCCACGTCGGGCTCCCTGCTCTGCGGGAAGCCTGCTTCTCCCTCTCCCACTCCCCCTGCTTATGTTCCCTCTCTCGCTCTGTCTCTCTCTGTCAAATAAATAAGTAAAATCTTTAAAAAAAATTGTTTAACTGGTTTTTAACTTTTTAAAATTTTAAAAAGATTTTATTTGAGAGAAAGAGGGGTGGGTGGGGGGAGGGCAGAGGGAGAGGGAGAAGCAGACTGCCTCGGGGCTGGATGCCAGGACCCTGAGATCATGACCTAAACCTAAGTCAGAAGCTTAACTGATTGAGCCACCCAGGCTCCCTTTAACTTTTAAATTATAATTCAGCATATTCTTTAAGATGTATAGTGATACCTGAAACAGATTTTTAAAAAAAGTTTAGTGGTTCTTTTTTTTTAAAAATATTTATTTGAGAGAGAGAGGGCACAAGCGGGGGGCGGGTTGCAGAGGGAGAAGCAGACTCCCCCCTGAGCAGGGAGCCTTGTGCGGGGCCAGATCACAGGACTCCAGGGTCATGACCTGAGCCGAAGGCCGACTGAGCCACCCAGGTGCCCCAGTTTAGTGGTTCTTAAAGTGGGTTCCCACTCCAGTTGTTTCACCTAGAATTTCCTAGAAATGCAAATTCTTGGGCCTGACCTATGGAATGAGAAACTCCAAGTGGGTCTAAAATTTGAAAAACATTATTTTAGTCCAACAAAATTGACATCTTATATGCTTAATGGTATGAAGTTTGTTTCCATTTTTTGACTGGTGTGTGGCACAGGTGTTTTACTTTGTGGTCTTACGAAAATGTGTTTTCACAGAACACCCTTAGTACAAAAGAAAACTTTTTATAAGGATGAAAAAGGAGTGGTCTAGAACAGGAATAGACAGATTTTTTCTATAAAGGGCAGGAGAGTAAAGATTTTAGGCTTTTCAGGTCATGCCATCTCAATTATAACTGCTTGACTCTGCTGTTACATGAAAGCCATCATAGACAATGTGTAGTGAATGAGTGTGCTGTGTTTTGATACAACTTTATTTATGGACACTGAAACTTGAATTTCATGTAATATGTGTCCTGAAATATTACTCTTTTTTTAAAAGATTTTGTTTGTTTATTTGAGAGGGAGAGAGACAAAGCACAAGTCGGGTATAGAGGGAGAGGGAGAGGGGAGCCCAACATGGGCTTGATCCCAGGACCTCGAGATCACAATCTGAGCCGAAGGCAGATGCTCAACCGACTGAGCCACCCAGGTGCCCCGAAATACTATTCTTTATTCTTTAAAATTTCTTTCCAGAGGTGCCTGGGTGGTGCAGTCGATTAATTGTCTGACTCTTTGTTTCAGTCCAGGTTGTGATCTCAGGGTCATGAGATCCGACCCCGTGTTGGGCTCCCTGCTCAGCTCGGAGTCGGCTTGAGATTCTCTCTCTCCCTCTGCCCCTCCCGCTCATGCTCTCTCTCTCTGAAAGTCGTTGGGCGTCTGCCTTCGGCTCAGGTCATGATCCCGGGGTCCTGGGATCGAGCCCCGCATCGGGCTCCCTGCTCCGCGGGAAGCCTGCTTCTCCCTCTCCCACTCCCCCTGCTTGTGTTCCCTCTCTCGCTGTCTCTCTCTGTCAAATGAATAAAATCTTTAAAAAAAAAAAGAAACAAAATTTCCTTCCAACCATTTAAAAATCAAAAAACTGTTCTTAGTTTGTGGGCCACAGAGAAACAGGCAGTGGACTGGATTTTACCAACCTTTGGTCATGTAATATAAAGCATTCCAAAAAAATACCAGTCTTTAGCAAAGTGAACTGCATGCTGGCTGTTTCATTTAGAGTGGAAAGCTAATGCACCTGTATAAATAAAATTTGGGAGGATACTAAGCTTTAAGAAGAATTGCCGTTTATATCATGCCTTATCTTTGCTTGGCAGTAGTACAAATTGAGAGCCATTCAATTTAGTAAGAGTAGACTGTGCAGCTGATAATCATTTTGTCATATATAAATCACTTACAAATTATTTTTTGTAATAGAAACCTACCACATTAATCTTGAAATGTTGGATGATACTGGGAACGAGGTTTGTTCCAGGAAGAAAAATTCATTTTACTATCTTTTGTTGAAAAGATATCTTTTGTTATCTTTTCAATTTCAAGGAGGTATAGATGTTTTTCCTTTTCAAAATTGGAGGTTTAAAAAAATTTATTGAGGGGCACCTGGTTGGCTCAGTCGGTTAAGCGCCTGCCTTTGGCTCAGGTCATGATCCCAGAGTCCTGGGATCGAGCCCCACATCGGGCTCCCTGCTCCGCGGGAAGCCTGCTTCTCCCTCTCCCACTCTCCCTGCTTGTGTTCCCTCTCGCGGTGTCTCTGTCAAATAAATAAAATCTTTAAAAAAAAATTTATTGAATGTATTGGCTTTTCAAAGTGATATTGAACATTTCATACTTAATTAAACTTTCACATTTAATTTAACTTGCTAATTTATGCTTTTCCTGTCATGTTATGTATTTCCTTGCTGTGGAACCAGCTTGCTCTCTGCCACTGGTTTGGCCTTTGGACATTGTCGACATTAGCATGGATAACTTTTCAAATATATTTGTTTACAATTTTTTTTTAAAGATTTTATTTATTTGAGAGATAGCAACAGAGATAGTGACAGAGATAGCGAGAGAGAGCACAAGTGGGGAGGAGAGGGAGAAGCAGGCTCCTGTGGAGCAGGGAGCCTGACCTGGGGCTTTATCCCAGGACCCTGGGATCATGACCTGAGCTGAAGGCCGACGCTTAACCGACTGAGCCACCCAGGTGCCCCCCCCATCCTAACCATTTTTAAGTGCACATAAAAACAACCACTCTATTATATTCAAAACTTCTTGGCATAAAACAACCTATTTTTTTTTTTTAAAGATTTTATTTATTTATTTGACAGAGAGAGAGCAGGGACACAAGCAGGGAGAGTGGGAGAGGGAGAAGCAGGCTTCCCGTGGAGCAGGAAGCCTGATGGGGGGCTTGATCCCAGGACGCTGCGATCATGACCTGAGCTGAAGGCAGATGCCTAATGACTGAGCCACCCAGGTGCCCCTAAAACAACCATTTTATTATGCTCAGAGTTTCTGTGTGTGTGAGGACTTTGGAAGGGTACAGTGGGGACAGTTGTCTCTGAGAACTGTGTCTAGAGTTTCAACTGGGAAGATTTGATGATTGGGGATAACTTGACAGCTGGGGGCAGAATCATCTGGAACCATCTTTACTTATGTGTCTGGTGGTTGTACTGTCAGTCTTCTGGGACATCACCTGGGGCTTCTGGCCATAGCATTTCCAAGAGGCTTCTGCGTGTAGCCTGGGCTTCCTCAAAGTATGGTGTTCTCAGGGTAGTTAGACTTAGTGGTAGTTCAGGACTCCAGAGGTGACTGTCCCCGGAGGACTACGTGAAAGCTTTTGACTTATCCTCAGAGGTCCCACAGCATCACTCCCCCACTCCTCCACTGCATTCTAATGGTTACAAGTTAGTCATTAAGGATGGTCTTTTTTTTTTTTTTTTAAGATTTTATTTATTTATTTGACAGAGAGAAACAGCGAGAGAGGGAACACAAGCAGGGAGAGTGTGAGAGGGAGAAGCAGGCTTCCCGCCGAGCAGGGAGCCCGATGCGGGGCTTGATCCCAGGACCCTGGGATCATGACCTGAGCCGAAGGCAGACAATTAATGACTGGGCCACCAGGTGCCCCAAGGATGGTATTGATTCAGCAAAAGAAGGGCATACACCCTACATCTTGATGAGAGGAGTGTCAAAGAGGTTTGTAGGCCTGTTTTAAAAACAATACAGTCTGCTCTCTGGCCACAAGTTATTTATATTCATCCCACTTACAAAATACATTTGCTAATAGGTCTCATCTGATTATAGTATCAGCCTCAAGTTTGAGGTTCAGGATCTCACCATCTACTTTAGGTGCAGGTGCACACGAGATGACTTGGATTCATTGCTTGGGCATGATTTTTCTCCTGAGACCTGTTAACTTTCCCTCCCCACTGCACCCAGTATTTATTTTTGTAAGCTTCTTTACAGCAGAGACCATGGCTCAGACCTCTGCAAATCTGTCACCTGGCCAGTGCTTAGTAGGTAATAGGAAGTAAGCTACCATTGTCTTCTGCACGATTGTCCCAGGTTTTGAGTCCTCATCTTTATCTTGCAGTATGTTCATGCGGATGCTCCTACCAACAAAACACTCGCTGGGCTGGTGGTACAGCTTCTTCAGTTCCAGGAAGATGCCTTTGGGAAGCATGTCACCAACCCGGCCTTCACCAAACTCCCGGTAAGTACCTCAACTTATAATAACACTGGGGAATCTGCAGTTTCTGTGCTCTCAAGGGCAGCCTACAGCTCTTTCCTTTATTGCTCCTATCCTATAGAATAAACAAAAGAGCCTCAACTGAATTTTAGCTATAGATTATTATTGCTTTTTAAGTGTAGGAAGCTCCACTTTCAGGAGTCATTTAACATTTGCATGAAACATCACAACAGCTATTTATAGACTTAACTATGAACATTTTACTATGTTGTAGTTTCCTTGTAGTCTCTGCCATACCAGGTCTTCTCCATTCTTTCTCCTGATTCAATTCTTGTGGCTAGGATACTTTCTTGTGGAATTTTTATCTTGTGTTGGTAAGATTTTCTGAGCTTGTGTGAAAATATAATTCTGTTGTCCTTGCAATTGATACTTTGATAGTTTGGTTTGGTATATAAATACTGGGTTATGCTTTTTTTCTTTTGAAATATGTAGGTTTTATTTTTTATTTTTAAGTTTGTTTATTTTTAGTAATCTCTACACCCAGTGTAGGGCTTGAACTCACGACCTGGAGATCAGGAGTCGCATGTCTACCAACTGAGCCAGCCAAGTGCCCCTGGTTTTGTTCTTTCCTTAACATTTGATTTTGTAGAGAAAAATCTGATACTTAATTTTCCCCTTTTTTATACTGATCTTTGAAATTCAGAGATATGACTACTTACAAGTCATGATCTGATGACTCAGTAAAGTTTCTTTAGCTCGGGACATTCAGTCTATTAGTCTTCTCTCCCATCCTGTATTCCTTCATTTATATTTTTGAACTCTGTTTGTACAAACATTAGACTTCTAGGAATTACTTGTAGCTTTTCTCATAATTTTTGTCTTCTGATTCTCTCATTTGGATTTTTGCAGTTTCCAGTCTCATGTTTGCTGCCTCCACTGAATTTATAGGTAGACCTTTTTTTTAAATCTCAGAAGTTTCTGATTTGGGTGTTCTTATTTCATCACTGACCTTTTTGTTTTAACAATCCATTGCTCTCTCAAGTATAATTGAGAATAGGAGACAGTATACGTTTTTTTACTGATCTTGCAGTAAATATGTTTAGTTTGCTTATGGTATTTTTGTTGTCCAGACATTTATTTTTATTTAGTCAGATACAGAATTGTTTTGTTTTGTTTGTTTTGTTTTTGTTTTGTAATCTCTACCCCCAATGTGGGGCTGGAACTTACGACCCTGAGATCAAGAGTCACATGCTCTACTGATGGAGTCAGCCAAGTGCCCATAGAATTGTGGTTTTTGAATCATGTTAGGAAGCTTTCTTCACTTGTAGGTGAGGAAGGACTTTAGTCAGGTGTTCTTCTAGTACTTATATGGCTTCATTTTTTATACTTAATTCTCATCTATTTAGTTTTTATCTTGGTGTTCAGTGTGAGCAATAGATCCAGTTTTATCTTTTTTCTTATGATTATCTGGTTATCCCAGTGATGTTTATTAAAAAGTGCTTCTTTCTCCCCAATGATACGAGCTCAGCAAGTATTAAGCATTTGGTTATTTATCAAATTCTGAGACTTTAAAGAGCAATACAGTGTATTGTTTGTCCTCAGGGGCTGCATACTCTAGTGAGCTGAATGAATAGAGCCTTGGAGTTTCCTGGTGATCCTGGTGAGGAAGTGTCTTCCAGGGGAAAGGGCATTTGAATTTGAGACTTGAAAGTTGAGTATGAGTTTTTCAGGGAAATGCTGAAGGATTGGATTTTCAGGCTGTGATAGCAACAGGTAAAAGCATAAAGGCCTGAGAAAATGTGGTACTTGAAGGTAGTTGTGACAGTTCAACAAGATTAGAACTGAAGACAAATAGGCAGAGAAGTGGGCTAGAGTCAGTCGTAATAGGCCAAGTTTACTGTGCTAGATGTGTGGCCTTTATCTCATAAGTGATGGGGAACCATAACAAGGCAGAGAGTAGTAGGTGGCTTAGTTGATTTTGGGTTTTAGAATAACCCCACAAGCTTCAGTGTGAAGAATGGGTTAGAAGCTGTTGAGATTGGAGGCTTTGAAAACTCTTCATGAAGAAACTGCCTCGTAATCCACTGTTATGGTACCTTGTGGAGGAAACAGTGGATTGATTGATTTTAATTTATTTGAGAGAGAGCAAGAGTGCGCGTGAGAGAACACAAGCGGGGGGGAACAGCAGGTAGAGGGAGAAGCAGACTCTTCGCTGAGCAGGGAGCCTGATGCGGGGCTCGATCCCAGGGCTCTGGGGCCATGACCCGAGCTGAAGGCAGACACTCAACCAACTGAGCCACCCAGGCACCCCAGAAGCAGTAGATTTAAAGACAGAAAGGAACTCAAGAGTTTAAGGGGGCAGAACTTGGTAATATCTTGGGGGGGCAGTATAGGGGCTGGAAAGAGAATTTACTAGGAGGACTACACTGAGCAATCAGACACCATTAGCACGAAGGGGAAAGCCAGAGTAAAAGCCGGTTTCTGGGGAAAGGTACTCAGTTTAGCCTAACTGTGTTATATGGTTGGTTCTCTGATAGGCACCTCAGGTTTAGAAATCTTGTGGGTACGAGGAAGTGAGATCTGGAGTTTAGAGTACAGGTTGAATTAGAAAAGATTTGGGAGTTACTGTGTACTGGATGAATTCACAGTTGTGGAGCAAGATCATTCCTTCTCTTTGGATTTGCTTTTTAACTTTATCCTTTTAAGATACCTACTTTTTAATGTGTGATTTATGTTGTATATGTGTAATATATTAGCAGTGTAGTAAGTACCTGTATATAATTTATGAATAAATTTTTAGATATTGGAGGGACATGTCTATTTTGTACTAATGGGAATTACTCAACTGGATGATTAACTTCATTTTCTTAGCCGTGTGACTAATTGAGGTTCTGGGGTAACTTTTGTAAGTTTAAAATTAATTCAAAGTAAAAATTTTGCAAGAATAATGCAAAGAACTTTCATTTTCCCTTTATTCAGAATCCCCGATTGTTAACATTTTAGTACATTTGCTTTATCACTCTTTTTCTCTGTGTGTGTGTTTTTTCTGAATCATTTGTGAGCTCCGTGTTCCTTTACCACTAATTACATGGGTTTACTTCTCATTCCTGTATATTATGAAGCAGATTAGAATTACTAATTAGGAACTGGTTGAAGTTATCATGTAAAACACTGTAACATAATACATATAGATTGTACTTTATTAAGTATAACAATATTTAGAATAAAATTTACAGATAACGTTACATGAAGTATTTTCTATTATGTGATTCACATTATATTGGTATTTCTAAATAGGATTGTATGAATGGTCTTAAAAAATAGTATGTACAAGGGCGCCTGGGTGGCTCAGTTGGTTAAGCGACTGCCTTCAGCTCAGGTCATGATCCTGGAGTCCCGGGATCGAGTCCCACATCGGGCTCCCTGCTCAGCAGGGAGTCTGCTTCTCCCTCTGACCCTCTTCCCTCTTGTGCTCTCTGTTTCTCATTCTCTCTCTCTCAAATAAATAAAATCTTTAAAAAAAAAAAAAGTGTGTACAAGAGTCCTTATTCATGGGATATTTAACTCTTGGGAATGAAAGCGTTATTTTTTTCCAGATTTTAAAGATTAGGGAAGAATATTTTTAGGCAAAAGCCATAAATAAAAATAATTCATGGCTTAGTGCCAGTGGGACCAGATGTACTTTTCTTCCTCTTAAAATAGTGTTTAACATTTTCCCAGATGAATGCGATTGATGTAATGTGTAATGGTGTCAAGTAAAAGTGGATGAGAAAGACAGTTAATGAAGCAAAGAATGTTTTAGTGAAACATGTCAGCTATTTAACCTTAAACTTTTTTTTTCTTTTTTTCTTTCTGAATAAATGGTACTGGTATAAGAGTTCACTATTTGGGCTGATTCTTTTTTTTTAATCAGAGTGGAACTTTATGTACTGACTTCCTAAGTCATGCCGGATATTAAACAGCTGGCTCAATGTAGGGTATGTTTTATCTAATGCTAAATTGAGAAGTTAGGATTTAGGGAAAATTTGAAGGTTTATAAGACTAAAAATATGTTGTATAGGCAGGGACACCTGGCTGGCTCAGTCAGTAGAGCATGCGACTCTTACTCTCAGGGTTGTGAGTTGGAGCCCCACATTGGGCACTTAAAAAATAATATGTTGCAGGGGCGCCTGGGTGGCTCAGTTGGTTAAGCGACTGCCTTCGGCTCAGGTCATGTCCTGGAGTCCCGGGATCGAGTCCCTCATTGGGCTCCCTGCTCAGCAGGGAGTCTGCTTTTCCCCCTGACCCTCTCATGCTCTCTCTCTCTATCTCATTCTCTCTCTCTCAAATAAATAAATAAAATCTTTAAAAAAAATAATACGTTGCATAGGCAAACAAAACATGAATCGAAACAGAAGAAAAAAGTGTTTTTACCTCCACCACAATTAAAAATTCTGTTTTTCTATAATCTCTTCAAGCCTCAGTGCATAACATTATTGTAGTGATAGGGTAAAGTCAGTTTTGTATTCTGCCTTTTAAAATAGATCATAAGCAACTGTGTTTAAAAACAACAAAGCTCTAAGATCTAGAAGACTGCTAGAAGGTCTAGTCAGAGTCTAAAGTAGCAGAAGATTTTTTTAACTACGTTCATGAGATGTTCAAAATTTTCACTTACCATTACACTTAAAAAATTAATCCTTTCATTTGCAACTATGACCTGACTACACCCTACTATTCCATAAATTTCGGAGTGGAGAGACTACCTTTGGGAACATGGGACGAGAAAGAAGATTCTAAGTGTTTTATATGTATTGGAAGTTAGTCCTTTAAGTTTGTAGCTTAGACCTCTGTTTCATGAAAGTGGAATATAAGTAAGTGGCTGTTTAAGTGAGATGGTGGGGAACATTTACTCTGTGCTGCAATGATTTAGTTTCATTTTGCTTTTCTTTATATGTATCACCATGTTTGTATGAATCTCTGTGGAGAATAGTGTAATTTTGCTTGTCTTTGAATTTTATAGGAATGGAATCCTAAATGTCTGTGTT